GTACATATTTAATTATATTATTTGTTTAAAATGGTGCTAGATTCTAGCTAACTCTCCAATCATTGGACTAGTCTTACTAGAAGAAAAGAATAATCTTCATAAAGAAAATTGTCCAAACGAGAAAAGTTTACTTAAATGGAAGTATGTTACGTCTACTTCTATAAAATATAATTTTCCTATCAAATTTTGCTCCAGTTATTTGAGTTAGTAAATAATTCTTAAAGTAATTCTGCTTTCTTAACTGTAGCACATGTTGTACCTACACATAAACATAATAATACTAATTGTAAGATGTTCTTGGAACCGACAATTTATAGGTATTGCAGTTCAATGAAACAAAATATATTTACTTTCTATTGTCGCTGATCTCGCATGTACATAAGAACTTTTATGTTTCACACACGAGGTCTGTTCAGAAAATAACCGAACTTTTTTAATTACGCGCGCTTTAGTGATATGCGGTTGTCAACATTACTTCTCTGTACTCACGTTCTTGGATTGTTGATATCGTCTCATTTAGGTTTGGTGATATTGTTAATTGAGTGCAACGTTTTTAAGTGTTAGTGATGATTTTTGAAATGAGCGATTTTCTGAAACATCGATGCAACGTAAAATTTTGCGTGAAACTGGAACTTTCACGGAATCGTTTCATCTTTTGAAACAAGCTTACGGAGATGATGCTCTGGGTGGAACGCAATGGTTTTCATGATTTAATTTGGTAATCAGTCAATTGAAGATGATCTTCGATCAGAAAGTCTTCGACTTCAAAAGATGACCCCCACGTTCAGAAAATTAAAGATCTGGTGCATACAAATCGCCGGTTGACTATCAGAGAAATTTCAGAAGAGGGTAACCACTCAATTGGGTTATGCCATGAAATTTTATCTGAAAAACTGAACACACATCCAGTTGATAACCGAACAACAGAAACAAAATCGTGTGGACGTTTGTCGGCAAGCCCACTCCAATGATGATGAAACATTCATTCAATTCAAAGGTTCATAACTATGGTTGCCATATTTGGCCATATTTGGCTAAGGTAGCGTTCTCTCTCCAACAGAACCTTTAAACTTCCATTCCTCTGAAAAAAGACTGATCTCTAACAAATTGCTGAAAGCACAAGCCACGGGATATTATTTAGGACTAGGCAATTGATCAGGACTTTTAATGGGTCTTGTCGGGAGGTCGGGACAAAGTAGCCAATAACGGTGACAGTCCCGATATATCGGGACGTATAGCAACCCTAATCATAACGGGAAGCGAAAGCTGGGTTTACGGCTAGGCATTGAGACAAAAGTTCAATTATCACAATGGATTAGCAAAGGTACAAAGGATCTACACGCACCAAGTAAGCACGTCAGTCTCGATCTAATGTCAAAGTGATGCTTACTGTTTTTTAAACTTTAATGGAATTGTAAATTTTGAATTGCCTTGCCTTAAAGTGAAAGAGTGAACCATGTGTATAGACTTTCCGATATCAATTGAAGAAAAACGAGGTTGGCAGTATGTACCAGGTTCGGTCGCTTATGTAGCAACTTGGCATTGAAATATTTGAAAAACTTGTTCCCATATTTATTTAGCCATACCCATATACAGGTCTGGTCGAACTAAACGTGGAGGTGGTAGAAATGTGTACGCCCAGTTGAAGAATGCGAGCGCGGGCAAACGAAATAAAAAGACAGTTGCATTGGGCAGCTGGGCAATAAATTTCAGCCGTTGAGAAGTGGTCGATAAATTGCCCAGCAGTGCAGTGCAGCAATGCGGAATTTGGTGTGATTCAGGTAATTTTAATTTATTATAGGCACTTTCTATTAATCATTGGTATTGCAATTGCGAAAGGGAGAAGTAATATTATTACAACATGGCATTTTGGAGATCTTTTGAAACGGAATAAAACGAAATTTACCATCAATATAATAAAATTGTTTGAGGACATAAATAATTAAAATATGTTGTTGGCCAAATGAACATAATAATAGAAATTTTCTGCACATTATATACAAATTATTATAATTTTTTACCTTCATCAGAAAACTTCTTTAGGGGCGCCTATGAAAGTCATTAAATTTTATTGCCAGGCGTTTTTTACATGTTCAACTGACTTCGGAAAGACTATACTATCAATGCGTTTTACAACGGTTACGGGAAAAAATCCGCAAAAACTGACCAGAGATAATGCGAGACAACTTATGGTTCTTGTACCGTAACAATGCGCCTGTACTTAGCCTGTAGCTTTGTCAATTCGTCAGTTTTGTGCCAGATCACTGTCCTCCCTCACCCTCCTTACTACCCACACTTGTCCGATATTTTGTAATCATTAAATTAACGCTAACGAGCTGTCCATGGATTCAATAAGAACATCTAAGTAACGTATGCAAATGTTTTATGGAATGATTCACTATTTACTAAAGGTTGTGCTTCTTTTCTTTATTTATTAATTCAACTAAGCGTTTCGATTTACACTTCAGTCGCAAACATAAAAAATATAAATATAAAAAATTAAACAATGCTGTTGCTTTTGACGAGTTTGCGACAGGGACCGTTTTATCCAAATATGTAAAAATATTGGATGTTCCATTTAAATTAACAAAGTAAACATCTGCGGCCATTTTGTTTGGACTTCAATTGTTTTTCCACTATCATAAAGAATTGTGCAACTTTTGTATTTTACATTTTTTTATAACGCTTAAAACAAAAAAGTTAAAGGGGGGTCAAAATATAGTGAATCACCTGCCAAAATTTGGTAGTGACTAAAAAGATTATAACTGTGTTCAGTGGCGCACTTAGAGAGTGCAAAGAACCATATTTTTTCTTTCGATTCGAAATTAAAATCAGCTGTACTAAGTAAATGTTACATTATTTTATAAACTTTCAAATTCAGTTTAAAACTATAATAAAAATAATAATAATCAAGTAGGAATTTTTTTGCTTAAAATTGAACGTAGAGAATAACATACTGAAGTATGTACATCTCCTCCTGAAACACCCTGTATAGGTATTTTTATTTTTTTCAATAGGTACTTTGTACCTACATATTTCCGCCCTGCTTGGTATGTAAATCAAGAGACGCCACTGTACCTATGCCTTCTTATAGAATTATAGATGTACAGGCTGGGCCATTTTCGATGGGAATTCAGAGTATTTCAGAAACTACTAAAGATATGATAAATCTGACACCACGTTCTCGAGCTCGATTTTCATGGCAAACTCGACTGTCAGATCGGAAATTTGCTATCTTCATTTGTTTCTGAGTTACAGGGCGTTTCTCGTTATTGTGACACTTTTGAACATGTCTATATTTCAGCTGTTAAATAAGTTAGAGTTAAAGTGAAAACTGCTCAAGAGTAATTCTTTGACGTAGAATTGAATGCCGGTATTAGATTTTTAGTAGATTTTAAGATTTCGGAGTTATGACCCAAAGTTAATTTTTTTCAAATGGAAATCGTAGTTGACCATGGCCTAAAAAAATATAGATTTTTTCCGCTTTTCAGCAATATATCACGTGTTATAGTTATTTTTACAAACACGGGGGATACGGGGTGTTTTATATATAAATTATATTTTTTTTCCTTTTTAATATGACCGGCTATGAAAATACAGATAAAACTATAATTCTTACTTTTACAAAAGTCATATCTGTTGTAAAAATATGACATTTATTTTAAATGCACAACATATACTCGTGTGATAATATAATACTAACGAAATTTTAGGAGATAGGTGGATAGGAACAAACGGACCGATCAGATGGCCAGCTAGGTTACCTGATTTGAGTCCGTTGGACTTTTTCCTTTGAGGTTTTCTAAAAGACATTATATTTAAAATTCCTTTTATTAATATTTCAAATACCTATACATTTAATGAATGCTACCCGATGCGTTGCCAGAAGATGCGTGAAATGTGTGACAGTTGAGGGACGGCAATTTGAACATTTACCTATCATTTTTGAAAGTTTTTATTGATGTAGGTACTTACTATTGTTTAATTTACGTTTAATATTGTAACTTCAGTTGAAGTGGAATAAAAATTTGAAAACTCTGTCTTTTCTAATGTGTAATATATATTTTAAATAAACGTCATATTTTTACAACAGATATGATTTTTGTAAAAGTAAGAATTATAGTTTTGTATGTATTTTCATAACCAGCAGAAACGCCCTGTAACTCAGAAACAAATGAAGATAGCAAATTTCCGATCTGACAGTCGAGTTTGCCATGACAATCGAGCTCGAGAACGTGGTGTCAGATTTATCATATCTTTAGTAGTTTCTGAGATACCCTGAAATCCCATCGAAAATGGACCAGCCTGTACATAAGTACATACCAACCAAAATTTGGTAGTGACTAAAAAGATTATACTTAACTGTGTTCAGTAGCGCACTTAGAGAGCAAAGAACCATATTTTTTTCTTTCGAAATTAAAATCAGCTGTACCTACTAAATTTTTCATTATTTTATAAACATTCAAATTCAGTTTGAAACTATATTAAAAATAATAATAATCAACTATTTATCTTTCAGATGCCCTACTTTAGTGTAACTAGGTGGTGGACATCATACTTGACTACTTACTTACATATTTAATTTATTAAAAACAATATTAATTTTATATGATAAATAGTTTCAATATATGTAAATATCATAGTAAACAAAATGTAGTAAGTATATAAATGTTTCATGGTTATTAATAAATTTTTATTTCGCTGTATTTATGAATCATATATGAATTTATATACATAAATACCCAATTTTTTAAATATTTCAAGAAACACTAGAAGAGTAAGCATTTAAATAAACATTATTTTGCATGTCAGCAGTTTGATAATTAATACTTATTGCTTATTATTCTGCATAGTTTGACTGCTTGCACTTTCGATAATTATTACAATTCTATAGACCCGCTGCAATCTTTTGAATGTTAAATAAACCGACAGCGATGCTACGCAGGTAAACAACTACGCTCGTCTTGACAAACTAAACTGGGAAACTTGTTTGAACTAACCTCGTTTTAAAAGAGTCCCATCCAATTCGAAACGATACTCTGCATTAGATCATGCTCACTTCACTTTTAACACTTATTTCTCTCGTCGAGAAAAAACAGTGACACTTTCTCCGGAGAATGCAGTTTTCACCCGATAAGAAACCGGCGGCGCGTGCCGTTATTTCACGCACGTGTACCTCAAATGTCACAACTATCTTAAAGCCAAGAATTTGTCAGACTGTAGGCTGGCGTCTTCGGAGAGCTAGGTTGACTTCCATGTGTGGTGGATTCCCTTTCCCGGTGAGCTCTGAAAGGTTACCAGTGGCGGAGCGTCGCATTCACCTTTTCAAAGGTTATCGAAATCCATACGGTGTAAGTTATGCATCGTTTTATGTGACATTATTAATACGCGCAGATGTTAGAAGGTTGCGACATAGGGGAATACGTTACAACCGTAGAACTCCCGAACAGTGAACATTACTTAAACGACCTTGTTTCGGTTAGGTATAATAAATAGAGGTACATTAGCAGAGGGGTATAAAAACAAAATTCATAAATAACTCTTCCGGCGACCTCACCATAAAATGCGATCTTACGATCTTTCCGCGACAAAAATGTCACTTCTTAGGTGTCATATCATAAGGACATACAGAAAGCGAGAGCGACTATTAGCTATTATTTTATCAAATCTACAGGGTGATTCAGTAACAACGGGAAAGTCGAAAGCTGAAGATACTACACGTGAAATGGTGACCATTGGCGCAAACATGCCTTATCCGAAAGTTGATAGTTTCGGAAATACAGGGTGTTGAAAGTTAAAATTTTAAATCGTTTTTTTTGCGATTATTCTGAATAACTTTTAATAACTTTTTACCCTGTATGTCTAACATGAAACTTGATTCAAACCTGAAAGTGCAATCATTTTTTCATTAATTGTGTATTCTTGTTTCATTTCGGTATCTCGATCCGTTTTCAAGAAAAATCGATTTAACGAACACTATATTTTGATAATACGAGAAATTAAAAGCGAAACAAACCAAGTGTTTCTTCGTGTTATTACAACAATTAACAATAAAACAAATGAAATTCGTAATAACGATTTAAAGTCAGTGTTCGAAGAATCCACCGTTGACATTTACACACTTTACACAACGTTTTCTGAGAGATCTTCGAGTTTGAAACAACATATTGGGATTGCGTTTGACTTCGTTGGTAGCGATTTGTATTCTTTGCCACAACTCTTCACACGAATCAATAGATTCTTCCAAATAGAAAAATGAAGAGGACTGAAGTCCGGACTTCTGGGTGGCCAACTAAAAATGCTTCCACGGCTTGAAGAAGTTCCACTTTATTTAAGAAGAGACATGTGGTTCATGTACGACGGAGCTCCACTGCATTTTTCTTGGCCAGTGCGTGCATATTTAGACGCAGTTTTTCCAAATCGCTGGATTGGCCATGTAAGCATTTTTGCTTGGCCATCCAGAAGTCCGGACTTCAATCCTCTTGATTTTTCTATTTAGTCTCGAATGAAAGATATAGTTTGCAAAGAATCTATTGGCTCGTGTGAAGAGTTGTGGCAAAGAATACAAATCGCTGCCAACGAAGTCAGACGCAATCCCAAATATCTGATAGCAAATTAGTCCTCAACTGCTCCAGAAGTAGGCCTATAGTGCCTGTAAAGTGTTTGTGTCAGTAAATTAATACGACGTATAAAAAGTAGTAATGCTAAACCAAAGATAACATTTTATCCAAGAAAAGCCAAATTATTATGACTATTGGAAAAGTTTAATATGCACCTCAGTTATAACCTGCATTTTTATGGCTTCACCAATTTGTTAGCAAAAACAGACTCGTCCATAAAAATTTTTTGTCCTAGGTACATGAATAACTGTCGGGTGCCCCAAAATTGACCCGAGATTTCAATTTTGCGCCATTTGTGTGGTAAGGTGTTGCCAACGAAAAAAGAAGATAGCTTGACAGCTGACAGTTTAGGGTTATTAAAAATGGAGCGCGACACGAAAGAACAACGCATTTTCATTGTGAGCGATATTTAAAAATAATGAAGTTTTGGCAGCTATAATTCACAATTTTCGTACAGAAAATATGGTCGGAATAGTGATTTAATTTTACCAACTGTGAAGAGATTAATTGAAAAATTTAAGGAGATTGGATCAATTAGTGATCTTAAACACTTTGGCCGTCCTTCAACAAGACGTTTCTACACAAAATATCGAAGAAGTCGTGAGAGTGTTGCTGAGAGTCAATAGGCACCGTGGTCAAGAGTTGGACATTTCGAGAAGCTATATACAGCGAATATGAAAGATTTGCGTCTTCATGATTACAAAGTTCAATTGTCTCAAGAACTAACTGAAGCCTATTGACTACATAATGCGAAGAGAGTTAATTCGTTGAATGGATTATGGAACAACAAAGCAAGTGGATGCTGATTTTTCAAACAAAATCATCTTAAGCGATGAGGCTCATTTTAATCTTGATGGTTTGACAAAATTGCCGCATTTGGAGTTCAGAAAAATAAATGCATCCACAACATGTGACTGTTTGGTGCGGATTTTGGGCTGGAGGCATCATCTGATTGTTCTGAAATTCAGCTGCATTTGTGCAAAATGGTCATGGAAAATTTCGACAAAAGAGTGCTTATGTGCCAGCAAAGCCGTGGAGGCAATTTACCCGCGATGCTATTCCCATACATAACCTTATACTGTATACTTTATGAATCATAAAAAATTTACAATTTTTAATTAAAAACTTGTATTTTATATTAAAATTACTTCTTGCCTGAATTTTGGGGCACCCTTTATAACTAGATATAAAATAAATAGTCAACATTAGATAGTATTATCGAAGAACATTTCCCGATGTTTCGAAGCCAACCAACAAAACGCTCGAAACTCATATTCCGCACACAAATGCATCAAAGGCAGGCTACAACAACACGCTTAAGCAGCTCTACAAACAGAAAAAGAATGCCTGACGAAATCCCCGAAAATCGCGGATGCTTCGAAAATTCTGCTCGAAACTCCCCAGACGCTACGAACAGTATTTTATCATGAAACAAACCGTTCAATACAACGCATGAAGGTACCTAGACGATCGCCACACCAGTATAATGGCACCAGATAACATTATAAAAATCACCGATCTTTCGAAAAATTTCACCGACCTTTCGAAAGCCACCAAGACGACAGCGAGTAGGCGTAGCCACCCCCGTGTCATCGAACGATAACCACGGCCTACAGCAAAGCCTCCCTGACCCGTCGTCAAGGGATAAAAGAAATATATTTTTTCCAATGATATCGCCACCAAAGCCGTCTCCCGCAAGACCTCCGAGTCGGAATTAATTTATTCAGTTTCAGACAACTAACCACGGCCGAGCGATCAGACCAGGCAAGAATGCAAACGAGGTTGTCACTAAACCAATTCACGCAGCAGCCTTTCCACCGGGATTTACCCTGCCGGCGATTGAATGCGCACCCGCGGCTATTGCAGTCTACCAGCCAGGGCACAGTACCTGGTGAGAGTCAGGCACTCGCCGTTAGAAAAGCCAGGATACAGTTCCTGGTGAGAGTCTAGCACTCACCGTTCGAAAAGAATTCGCTCCTGTACTACCAGCATCCTTTAAATAAACGATATATAAGTATATTTGCTTACTTTTGAGTTGTCGTAGGGCCGTACATCAAGAGGGGAGGAACGAGTTGTCAGGGAACTCTCCAGCCTCCGAGCAGGCATCCAACGCATTGGCACCCGAGGTGAAGAAAGACCCTGGACACTATGATCCTTCTCGTCCCATCATACGGGTCTTGAACCCAATGATGATGCTCAGGCGAGAAGCTGGCCGGTCTCAACAGCCGGGACCAGCCTAGGAGGCAACCAACACACCTCCACGATATGGTGCCCATACACAACCACGACAGTATTTATATAATATTTCTTTGCTTACTTTTGATCCAGTCGTACTTAGACGAAGATGACTATGTGGACTTTTTATTTTTAACATAATTATAAAGCTATGCACACGTAATTTTAATGTACGGTAACCCTAGGTAGAGCTGGTGCCCGTTTTTCGAGCGGCGACATGGAGGTCTCCGTTATGTTAAAAGATACAAGGTCAGTCAAATTAGGGTAAAGTTACTTCATATGATGGCATGTCGTTTAGACAACCGTTTAGAAATCTAATAAATTTTGACTTTTAATATATATTTTATTCGTTTGCACCCCTTCAATTACCTGTATCGGCGATACTGCTTTTCAGAAAGAAACCGTTTGCACATTATTCTTAACGCATAGTTGACGTTTACTCGTGTACAAATTTTGACATTTAGAAAAAACTTTACATGAACTACCCCTATTATTTTCCCATGAGGAACTTGCACACAAGTTTTTCTGAAACATGAACGAGACACCCTGTATATAATGGGACAGCACTTAAACCTCTCACTGTGTATCTAATAACAACAAAATATAAAAACAACAAAGTGCAAATATCATTGCTCGTGTTACTCTAAAAGCCAACATTATCAAGGGGTTAACTATAACAGCCTGCTATCTTGTTTGGGAATGTTTAAAAATTTAGTTCAAGAATTTTTTAATCATTGGCCTCTCTCTTGTTTGCCTCTCAGACTTTATTATAGCAAGGTCCAAATTACGGGAAAATTTAAAAGAGTAGAATTATTCAGTTATCTTAGCGACATCGACAATACCTTTGTACATTATCTTTTAACCACTCTGACAGAAAAAATATGTAAGTAAAAAGTAAATAATTAGTCTAAATTGAACTAAAATTAGAAAAGTAAGTATTCTGCTAAATAAGATAAAATTATGACATAAAAAATTAACGTCATGACACATGTTTTTGATATCGCTATTGTCGCATCTTTATCTTTCTTGTTTCATCTAGTATTTATGGGTACCTAATAAATAAAATTAAATATTTTTTTAACAGGCGATAGTAGACCGCAGTAATTTTTAATAACATCTATCATTGGATTTATAAGCTACGCTATCCATCTATCATTTCTAGGAAGGCAATTTTCTTTAGAAAGCCAGATGCAGTAGGTCTTTGGGTAATTCCCAATGCACAGATAATTCCAATGTAAATATGTATTAGGTATATTCCAAATATTTGTATCATTAGGTTATTTTTCGTCTGGACATGATTATTACTTATTCATGAATGACTAATGTATTATGTCCAATACAA